CGTTTTCCCGCCCGTGGAAACTTTGGCCAGAGAGCAAGGAGGAGGAGGAGGAGGAGGATGGAGCCGGGGGAGTCCGCGGCAGCGCCCCTCAACCGATCCCGAGCTGGGGTAGAGCCGCCCCGCGGGGAGTTCAACCTCTCCGGGCTGCCAGGTGGAGGGGAAGCCCCTCTTCGGCATCGGCATCGAGAACTTCATCACCTTGATCGTCTTTGGCTTGATCTTCACCCTGGGGGTGCTGGGCAACTCTCTGGTGATCACGGTGCTGGCGAGGAGTAAGCCAGGCAAACGCCGCAGCACCACCAACATCTTCATCCTCAACCTGAGCATTGCCGACCTAGCCTACCTGCTCTTCTGCATCCCCTTCCAGTCCACAGTCTACATACTGCCCACCTGGGTGCTGGGCGCCTTCATCTGTAAGTTCATCCACTACTTCTTCACCGTTTCCATGCTGGTGAGCATCTTCACGCTCTCGGCCATGTCCGTGGACCGCTACGTGGCCCTCGCTCTTCGGCCTTGCGCGTTTCTCGCAACGCGCTGCTGGGTGTGGGGCTCATCTGGGCGCTCTCCTTCGCCATGGCCTCACCTGTGGCTCACCACCAGCGCCTCTTCCACCGCGAGGCCAGCAACCAGACCTTCTGCTGGGAACACTGGCCCAACCCACGCCACAAGAAGGTCTATGTGGTTTGCACGTTCATCTTCGGATACCTGCTCCCGCTGCTGCTCATCTCCTTCTGCTATGCCAAGGTGGGGCAAAGCAGGTAGTGGTGAAGGAGGAGAAGGGATGGGGGGGGGGGGGACACAATGGTTGCAGATGTCCATGAGCTGTGGGGCCATCTCTGGGCATGTGGAGGGATGTGGCACCGTCGGAAGACAACGGGACAGGGGTGAGTTTGTGGCGCAAAGGGAGAGGGGCAGGTTTTGTAGCTGAGGGATGACTGGGGGACACGTGTGTGTGTGACACAGCCAGGTCAGGACAGGGACCGTAAGGGGTGGGGAGGGGGGGTTGACCTGGCAATTACTGGGGTCCCTCTGCCAGATTTCCTTGTTGCGAAGTGCTAAGAAGCCCCAGTGCTCTGCTGCTTTCTCTGTCAGCACAACTCTCCTATTTTCTTGCTGTGCTGTACGAGGAGTTAACTCAAAGTTCAGCAAAGCAACAAGTTGTTCAGGCTTCAGACAAAGCATTGCGGTTCTTTAAAATGCAGTACACTTGAAAATGACACAAATCCACCAGTTTGGTCTGATCCGGTTATTAAGAGCAAAAGGTGCACCGTGTTACCTGGTCCCTGCGAGCCCTGTCTTGCCTCGGTTGAAGTGGGTGGGAGATTTATTTCTGACTTCAGCAAGGGCAGGTGGTGCTGGGGAGCAGCGCATGAGCACCCAGGCAGGAAAAAAGCAGTAAGTAAAGGTCTCTGAATAAGGGTATTTAAGGGCTTTTCCGCTCAGGCAAACTGTCACATTTTTTTTTTGGTGAATATTAATTGTAGCCTTCAGCGCGTAGGGTCCACTGCTTGCTGCTGGACGGGATCTGGAGCATCGGCTGCTACCTGCCGAGTTAGGCAGAGCTCCTCCTGTTCCTGTGCCAGCCCCCTGCGGTAGCAGGATTGCTCCTTAGGCAGTAATTTGGATTCGAGAGGATAGGTCTGCTCTTGCAAATATGGACTGCGTAAGTGTTGAGAAGTCAGTTCTTTAACTGGCAAGTTCAATAGAGGTAATGAAACTATTTGATTTGAACAAATAATTTCATGTTCTGATCAGTTTTATATGTATTATGTCAGCTTAATTGTGATGTGCAAATTAAGGCTAGAGTGGCATCTGACTCTGCTAAAACCAAGTTATGCAGAACTCAAAGGACAACATTTCTAAATTCCTGTGTGTAATCAGACAAGTCCGGCCTGGAAAATGGAGAAAAAATACATATTTTCATACATAAACTGAATTCTGTTTTCCCTGGGTGAATACACAGGTATTTCATCTACAGTGGGGAATATGACTGAGCTGTGAGAGGGATGAAACTTGCTGTAGCCATAGATCATCAGGGTTTTAAGAAAATATTACATATTTCAGGGAGAATGTTACAGAATACAAGCAAAGGGAGTGTTTTAGCTGTTAAGAATTCTTATATTTTTCAAAGCCAGAGCATCTTCAGTTTCAGCATAAAGTACCAGCCTTCAAATTCTAATTATATAACAGAAGATGGAAAATAAGTCTTTCAAGTCTTAGTATAGGGGGGAAAAAAAGGAAATATGCTTAAATAAAATATAGGCATAGTAAATACAACACACCACGTTGTTACAAAGCACCACCTCAGAAGTAGATCTCTTAATATTAGCAGGAATATGTAGTTTAAAAAAAAAAAAAAAACAAAAACAAACAAAAAACACAGAAGAACCCGCCAAACAACAAAGCAACCCTATGTGAAATACATGCCCGGAACAAGTTCACAAAATCAAGGCCACTTGAAGTTATAGCTAAAATCTTGTGCTTAAATTATTGCCGGGCTAGGATCTCACCCTTGCTCGGTCATGTGTTTCAGTCGGTATGTATGATCCTGCTTGCCATGGCGGCAGGCTGGAAGATCCAACCTGAAAGGATGAATTTTAGGAAATACCTAGGAGGTACCTGGTGTTCCCACCAGTGTCAATGAAGCTGAAAATTGCCGTGACTTGTACAAGGCTATTGGAGGTGTTTGTACCCTGCAGCGTAGAGGCTCATTCCTGCCCTCGTTAGGAGCCACTGGCAAATCTCCAGCTGCAATATTTTGGCACGTGGGCAGGGTGAGGGAGAAATTAAGGATGATAGTAGTTGATCGCCCCTTTGTACTCAGCGCTGGTGAGGCCGCACCTCGAGTGCTGTGTTCAGTTCTGGGCCCCTCACTACAAGAAAGCCCTTGAGGTGCTGGAGCGAGTCCAGGGAAGGGCAACGAAGGTGGTGAAGGGTCTGGAGCACAAGTCTGATGGGGAGCGGCTGAGGGAGCTGGGGGTGTTTGGTCTGGAGAAGAGGAGGCTGAGGGGAGACCTGATCGCTCTCTACAACTGCCTGAAAGGAGGGTGTAGCCAGGTGGGGGTTGTCCTCTTCTCCCAGGCAACCAGTGACAGGACAAGAGGGCATGGTCTGAAACTGTGCCAGGGGAAGTTCAGGCGAGAAATGAGGAGGCATTTCTTCACAGAAAGGGTCGTTAGGTGTTGGGATGGGCTGCCCAGGGAGGTGGTGGAGTCCCCATCCCCGGAGGTGTTCAAAAAATGTTTAGATGTGACGCTTCAAGAAATGGTTTCGTGGGTTTAGTGGGCATGGTGGCATTGGGTAGAAGGTTGGACATGATGATCTTTGAGGTCTCTTCCAACCATAACGATTCTATGATTCTATGAAAATCAGAGCTGGAGATTTAGATTTGTCAAAGCCATTGCTGCTCTCACAGGTTTCAAGCAAAGTGGTCACTGCGAGCTTTTCTTGATGTCATTAAAGCGCTATGAAGTACAACAACTATTTTGGTTTCTGAATGCACACAGGGTTAGAGGATCACTGCTGTGTAATGGCCTCAGAAGTATTATAAAAATAAATGCATTTGTTTCTGATGGACTTCATTAGTTTTCATGAACTGTGGATCAGCTAAATAACGCAATCTTCTGATACAGTAGATTAAGACAAAGGAGACTCATTTCTCTATTTGAATATATTGCCTTTCCCAGACTCCTTTAAGGCAGCTCTATTTCTTCTGTAAGCAAATTGCAATTGAACTTTCAGTTTTGAAAGTCTCATTTTTTAGGCAGTCTAATAGGGAACCGAGTTCTTTCTCTCACTCTCTCTTAAGTTACATTAGAAGAGATTTGTGTTTTCCCCAGCGGACAGCAATACTGGTACAACGTACAGAAGTGCTGAAATAGCGTTAGGGATTTGGAAACAGTGATCTCCCACAAAATCAGAACGGGAAATCTCACGTGATGTGCTCTTAAGGCAGATATTTAGGAGATCGTGCTCTGTGTCCTGTGTGTACAGCTACTCGTTTCCTCTCTCCCACAAATAACGTTGGTTCCGTTTCAACTAAATTTGTCAGAGGAGTGGAAATACCCGAAGGAATGATATTTCCCTACTTTTGTGAAAACAGGAGTCAGTGAAGAAGGTGAAGAGCCTCCATCATCCTCTCTCCTTTAAGGAGAGTCAGTTTGCACTCAGCTGTTAAACACCAGACAAGCCACAGGGGGAAGAGGTCTCATGTAGCATCTACTCATGGAGGAGACACATCTTTTGGGGAACACACAAATCCACAGGAAACCGGCTTTTGTTGGCTCACAGAACTACTTTTGAAAGGAGCTTACTACTCAAGCCAGAGGAGCAGTGGTTATATAGTTATTAGCTGAGTTACAGTGCTGCATACTTGTAGACAGTCTATATTCTTATTTTTTTATTGCTCATCATATTACTTGCCATATTTTTTTAATGCTGATGTTTTGTGTGTGTTTTGTAACACTGCTACCACGTTTGCTCGCTAATGTGCTCTTAAAGGGCAAAGTGATAAATGATTCCCAGTGAGCTTCTAACAGTCGACATCTGCCAGGGTATTGCAATGTGACGACTGAGTTTGGGCGCCTCTGCTTTTGAGTACCCGGTTATGAGGATTCAGTCCTTGAAAGTCAGGCCTCCTTCAATCAAACCTTTAGGGTGGACACTTGAAATCATTAGCAAACTTTTCCTTTTATAGATGTATAATGTTCAAAGCTTTTTTTGAAAAATTATTTCTTGCCTTAAGAATGTTTCCATTATTATTTATCATTCTGAATATTCTGAATTCATGGAAGTCATGTATGATTTACAGACTTGGTTAAAAGTAAGCCAGAAAAAGTAGGAGCCTCAACATAAAATACAGGCTTCTGTTGTTCCTGGCTTAAGATATTATATCTTAAATTTTGCTGAACAGCGAGGGAAAACTTTATTAAACTACACTGAAAAGAAAAAATAAAGGGTATGACACACTAGTGACACAGTATTAAATGAAAGGGAGTGAAGGATCTGTTGTGACAATAGAAGTAGCAGCATTACTTTACAAAAATGGATTGCAGGCAATGGCACTCGAATTTAAATCAGGTTCATGCTATAAAATATGGTTCAGAATGTAATGGCTGTGTTAAAGGAGGAGTTCGTTCCTATTAGATAATGACCTTGGGGAGGCTTTCCTACTGGATGATTTTCAGTGGCTGACAACGAAGGTGTAGTCAGTGGAATGATTACATACAGCCAGAGAGGAAATATGCTTTGCGGCAGTCTAGACTTCAAACTTTTACAATGTTTGGTAGACTTAGATGAATAGGCACAGGTAGTTTAAGCGATCTCTCCCTTATTGGAAAAATCCCTTTCTCAACTTGATTTGGTCATAAACCTTCAGCCTGGGCTCTCAAACTGTCTTGAATGTAGTCTCTGAAACAACAGGGGGAAAAAGGAAAAAAAAAAAAAAGAAGAAAAAAGAAAGGAAATTAATAGTTTGTAGGCAAAATCCAGGGCCTCCGAAATGCCATTGGTGGTAGTAGAGTCTGGACCAGACTGGAACTTCTTATACTTCTGTGGTCCTACAAGTCTCCTAACAGCCTTTTTCACAACAGCCTAACTTTCTTCCCACAGCACCCCACCCTCATCTCCAGAAAACAGGAAAGCTGTTCCTTCCCCGAGAGCCAAATAAGCTCTCTGATCAACAGGTGCATGAAAGCTGGAGTTAGACAAGTTTCATGTAAAGAGTTATGTTTTTCCGCAGAGCTGAATTTTTAACGAATGTAACACCATATGAGAACAGGTTGTGACCTATTTTTTTAGCAAGGTGGGTATTTCGTTCCATGAGTTAAAAATGCACGTGCAAATGTATTAGTGGACATTTTGAAAGCCTTTCTTTAGAGAAATGTCTGAGACAAATGGAGAGGCACATGCAGAATTATTGTTCATTCAGGTGAAGGGACAGTGGCTGTTAGAGGGACAATTGATTACTCATTGGCCCCGAGAAGAGATAATTTGAGCAGGGCAGTGAGGAGAGGTGTCTTTGATTTGCCTTGTAGTGTTTGTGCATAAATGTGGCTCTTAATATCTCTCCACGGCATTCTGTGTAGGTCTCTCAGTGCTGTTCAACTGCTGTTGATAGGTAATTAAATTCTGCCTGTTTTCCTTGCTGCTGGTTTGCATGCCATCTGGTACAGTACCATGTAGAGCCAGCATGTTTTCACTGCAGAGACTTATTTTATGAAATACCTATATCATCTGAAAGGAGGAAGTTGAGAAGTATTCGTGGGAAGGTTATCATCTAAATCTCCAACAAACCCCTCCACTCCACACCCCCACTCACACCCCCCACACCCCCCTCCAAATACCCAATTTAACAGTTTTGTCTACTGCATCTTCCTTTGGACTGGAGAGAGATGCAATGCAGAGATTTGTACTAAAAGTTTCAGAAAAAAAGAAAAAATGTTTGTAACTTTAAAAGAGGATTTTGTAGTTCTGATTTCTGGGAAGAGTTTATCTGACTTTAGTTTGGGGCTGTGAGAGAAAATCGCTGTCCGGTACAGTGTGGCAGGTGATGGAATTTGCAAAGGTCCAGTAGAAACAGCCCATCATTGTAAGTTATGTGAAGGGGGTACGATAGGTGAAGCAGCAGTGATGGGAAGTGAACTTCACTGTATTTCTCCCGTGCTTTCTTTTGTTTTTATGTTTTTCACCCACGAACTAAGCAATTCGGCTGTTTTTTACACGGTGACGGCAGGTGAGTAAAGAGTGTGTGAGCCAGAGGGTCATCTCCCTGATCTTCTGCTGGACCTCGGGGGCTCTTCTCTCCTGTCCTTCTGGTCTGCTTCATCCTGGAGAAGAAAGAAGGACTGAAGCAAAAATGGGACCTTCTCAGAGAAAACCCGTTTATTTTTCTCCTGCCTTTCCTGAGCTCAGGTTAGCCTTGGTAGCAGCCTGGCTAGTTTTTCAGAATGGGGAGTGCATGGAGGGCTGAGTCTGTCACGCACAAACCTGTTAGTGCACAGATAAAAGCAAATGTACTGCACTTCCAGGGTTAAGTGGTTACAGGTAATTTTTATTTTTATTGTTGTTTGTGGTTCACTGGTAGCTAAGAGTAGATGCTTAAAAAGTGGAATCCACTGATGAGCTATGGTTATTCACAAATACCGTCTTATTTCTTTTAACTCATTATGTATGTTTTGAAGATTTAAATGCCAGAGTGGGATCAAGTCTATAGGTCATCTTCTCTGGTGCCTGTCCTGGTAGTGGTTAGCGGTACATCCCAAAGAAAACAAAGAAAACATCCTCAGATGAAATGGGAGAATTTGAATTTATACCCTTTTCCCCACCTCAAGAAGTCTCCTTATAAGCCCTAAAATTTGGTGTCATATTCCTTTTAAAAAAGCCTTTTAGTGTTGGATGATCTTACCTATTAAATTGTTCTCAGTTCATCTTAGAGCTATGTAAAGTGCAACCTAACATATCGTCATCATCTAACTGAGCTCTACATTCCAACACTTTCTGTAAAAAATTCCTCTTTCCATATTTTAATTAAACCCTCGAGTTTAATTAAGCATCTCTCTTTTTTAAATTCTGTATGGTTTACAACTTGTTAAATACATTCAGCTGAAGAGCATATTCCCTGGCACTCATGCCTACAAATCATGACATACGAATATATTTGATTCAGTTAATAACAACTTCAGATAAAGTAGAGCATGCACCTCTATGCATCCACTATCGAAAATCTTACGTGTAAATCATTATGCTAAAATGTGGACCCTACTCTTGGGTTATCAGCCTTTTTGAGACGTATTTAAAAAAATTACTTGTGAAAGGTACATGACAAGTATCATCAAATTGTTGATAAAGGTCATGCCTCATGTGAGATACATTTTAGTATAAATTACTTTTGAAAGCCTAAGCTTCTTTCGAAGATCAAATAACACCAACATCCTGATTGTATTAACCAAACATCCATCTGAAGAAAGCAAATTATGCAGGTGACTCAGAAAAGCTCTGACTCAAAACATACACTTTTTATGTTACATGCAGTAAAGGTCACTCTAAATTAACAAGCATTGACATTTTTATGGAAGAAGAATGATTGCTAATTCTAGGTGCATGATAGGTTTCCATTTGTTGCCTTGTTCATTTGTGGTATATCTTTGTTATGTAATACATCTGAATTTTTATGTAAGAATTCAATTGTGGTCTGCTGCATATTTTTTGAGTCACACAGATGCAGATATGTAATTCCTTTGGATTTTATGCTGTGCACTTTTGAAATGTGTAAATTGGATCAGTGATGTTTGTAAGCGACTCATGCAGTACTGGAGAGCATACTCTAAAATATACAAGTTTGAATTTTAGAAAATGGTGAAATACAAGATGCAAATTAATCTTTTCAGGTTCTTAATCATCTGCATAAGAAGTTGAGAAACATGTCAAAGAAGTCAGAAGCATCCAAGAAAAAGGTAGATTGCTTTCATTACCAATACCTATTTGTTTATATTTTAGTTTTATGGCTAAGCTAATTTGGTATTACATTGCTTGTTGCCAAAGATGTAATGGAGAGGAGTTGAAATGACGTATTTGATGACATACTCAGTCTCTCTCTGAACTTAGCAGGATTGGAATCTTCTCTGATCTGAGTTTTCCATTGCAGTGCATCAAGCCATTGCCTGAGATCCCCATATTTTGAACTTCAGAGCATCTGAAATGTAGACTTGGAGAGACCACCTGTCTCTAATATTAGATGTTTTTCCTGCCTCACAGGCATTTTTCCCTAACTTGTACTTTTTTTTTTTTTAACTAGCTGAATTTTTTAACGATTTATGAAGAATTCCTAAGTTATATGATGAGACTTTAAAATGAGTTTTATTCTTCTATTGATTTTCCACGAAACTTTTTTTTCTCATATGTTCAAGAGTTAAGTTATATACTGGTTACGAGTAGAATCGTGAAGGGTCTTCAAAGCAGAATATAAGCTTTCGATTTAGAACAGTATTTGAAAGATGTGTTTCTATATTGAATTTGTCAGTTAATGTAATATGGTTTTGATTTTTGAGCAGATTTGACCACAGTAATCATTTGACTAACTTCCCAGTTTATGAATGTGGAGTCAGAAAAACCCCTTAGGCTGTAGCTCTTCATTTGGTCTCATCACTATTACCATATGGGCATGCAGCCTGTCTGCAACGTAAATGAGATATAGATGGGCTCAACAGGGAATAAGTAATCCATTATTTATGCATTCTCTATTTTTTAAAAAAATATCCTAGTCAACAGGTTTTAATTCCTAGAATTAAAAGCATTATGGCCCTGATTCCATAAAATACTTAACATAGATACTTTTGCATTTAATATCGTCAAGGCCAAAGGTGTAGTTTTCAAAGGCGTTCTGTACATTGCCGTCTCTGCTCTCATCTAAATTAATCTCAAACTGGAAATATCTGTGCATTTCCTCTAAACACTAACTCTTAAAAATTGCAAGTAAAAATCAGATCTGGCTAGGAACTAGCTTTCATAGCTTCAGGGGAAAGCGTTACAGATATGCCCAAGACTGCTTGGACGTAGCAGGGTTCAGTAACCAAAAGGCAAAAAAAAAAAGCCTTAGAAAATAAGTTTCTGATCCTAAGGCGTGACTCATGTTTTTCAAAGCAACTCTGTTTTCATTGGTGTGCTGTCCCTCTCTGGTTCCTGTATCTTTCTTCTTTTCCTTCTACTGTTTTGTTAAGAATGCATTTCAGGCTTAATTATATATTTCGAGCTTTATTCAAACCTTTATGAAAATTTCAGTAGTAGAATCTTGAAATTAATTTGCTACATGTGTGGAAAAAAGTTAATGAAAAATATGAATGTGCCTAAATGCTATTTTTTTCATGCTTTTTGATCACAAAGCATCGATATTGACATCGTATATTTCAGGTGGTTTTTATTTGCTAATGAGAAACCCTAAGCAAGCTCCCATTAGGTAAACAAGAGCTGCTCTTTAGTGTTACCTTGGTTGCAAGGCACAGTGATGATTTTGGAAAGGTAAGCTCTGAAGTTAGGCTTAGGAGGAATAACGGGATAAACCAGATGTTGTGAGGTTTCCTAATGCAAAATTACTTATTCTCCACATGTGAAATACCTTGGGTAAAAGAGTTACAAGAGACACATGGTCAACCTCTGCTTTCGGGTACATCTATAGTCTAGTGATTTTCCTGGTGTAATTTTTTTTTTAGAATTTTGAACAAGCTGATGTGGTACGTATTAACACACTGAAGGAACCAGAGAATTAACTACTCTTAATTTAGACTTCCTTGTTAGCATATATTCTCCTGATGAGACCTGAAAGAGAAAATATTTGCGTGGCTGTTTGTTGGTGTCAACTGACTTAAACTCCATATGGCTAAGGCATGTGAAAGCAGATGAATCCTTGAGACTAAACAAATTATATTTACTACAGTTATAATGTCCTTTGGTTTCTGTTGTGAGGGTTTACTAACCAACAACAGTATCTGTCATAAGTGATTTTGGCCTGATGCCACAGAAATCAACCTTTTTTTTCCATAAGTTAAGTCATGTTGTGATTAAGTAGGTCAGTCTGAGTTATTACCAAGCATTGACTGATTCAAGAAGTGTAGACTAAGTTCAATAAATGAGTAAAAAGTCTAGATATTCTCTGTGCTGCAGCATTTATCACTTTGTGGCCACTGGGTTAGTTTTGGCTGTGAGGAAGAGCCTGAGTTATCTGAAAAATTCTGATGTAAAGTGTTAGTATAGTAATTACAATGGTCCATAATGTAATATGCTTTGGAATTAATATTAGGCTTTTAGTGGAAGAGTGATTTAGTTGAAAGAGGTACTTGTTAGAGGAGTAGATATTAATTAGTTGAGCAACTGCAAAGCACTAACTGCTGTTCCTGAAGTAAGTGAAAGCTAAAGGAAACATTGGCAGTCAAACTCCACTGTGCCCTGGCAGAATACCTTCAGCACCCGAAAGGTCTATACTGGATCTAATGGACTTGATGGCCCTTCCCCTCATAAATAACGAAAGTGGAGTCAGGAGGCAGCACTGAAGATATTTTGTGTTCCATTTTTCTGAATTCAGTGTTTCGTGGTGAGCTTTAATTTCCAATTCGGTTTTGACAATGTGCAGTCACCAGAAATTTCAAACTCCTTACTTTTCTCTTTTTTCCCTTAGTTGTATCCCAGAATGTTGTATGATTCCTCCTGTGGAAATGTTATGTTTAAAGGAAGACTTTCAAAAAAGCCCCTGCTCCTTTTGTAGACATTTGAGCACAGTGTTCATCTGACTGCTCTAAGCTCTTCCACCAGCTGCCTTCATGTATAATAAATCTCTCTCTTGAAATTTTGGTCAGAAACCCTTGTGCACCATACTGAAATATAGATCATTAGGTCTGGATGAGATTTCCCAAAGAACTACCTTATTGTTATTTTGCATCAAGCTTATGTCCGCCTCAGAAAAGGCTAGGCCTTTGTGTCGGGAATCAGGAACATCATTCTTTACCTTCGAGCAAAGTTATACATTTGCCTTTTACTGTGGTGTTTTCAAGGCTAAGTTTTCACTATGCAAAATAAAGCCTATATGGGTAGTGGAGTAAAATCAGTAATTAACATTCCAAAGTGTGTTGTCTCTCAGTATACCTTTTTTCCTCCCCAAATAATGGTGTTGAAGCAGGCTTAAAGCTGATTCTTCAAGTGCTCATCAGACATCTGTGTTTTCCTTTCCGTGTCTCAGACAGCACAGACTGTGTTGGTGGTGGTGGTGGTTTTTGGCATCTCCTGGCTGCCGCATCACGTGATTCATCTCTGGGCTGAATTTGGAGTTTTCCCACTGACTCAAGCCTCCTTCCTCTTCAGAGTAACTGCGCACTGCCTGGCGTACAGCAATTCTTCCGTGAACCCCATTATATACGCATTTCTTTCTGAAAATTTTAGGAAGGCCTACAAACAAGTCTTCAAATGCCAGATAGGTAACGAGTCACCTCTGAATGACGCTAAGGAAAATAAAAGTCGGATAGATACACCACCGTCTACCAACTGTACACACGTGTGAACTTTGAAAAGTCCTGCGCGTTGGCTCTTCGTTTGTGTGAACTAAACACCTAGAAAACAAAGCACAATGAGCTTTATCCTGGGTTTATCTTGATAAGGCTAATTGGTATTTAATGTACTGAAGTTGCATTTGTAGCAAAAGTTTGTGAAACTGGTATGAAAGAAAACTGGGCTGATCCTTTGCATCTTAGATAGCTTTGTTAAATGTAGCTCTTGGACCTTTAAAAGATACTTGAGAAAAAAATTTTGGAGATGATATATCTGTATTCTTACTCACTAAGCAAACGGTGTGTAAACATTCAAATATACAAGAAGGACATGTTGATATGGACAAGTAACTTCCTGACATATTACTCCACTGAAGTGAAGAGATGGCTAAATTTTCTGTCTTACAGATAACAAATACCGTAGTACTATGATTTCAGAGAGGAAAACTTTTGTTCTCTCTTGAGATTGTTTTGACAATGCCTTTTCTCTTTTTAAAGTAAAGATGGGCTCTGATTCGGAGTTGAAATAACCCGTGTACAACTTGAGGCAATTGCTTTAGAGAGGAAATGCTAATTTTATCTGTTTAGCTGTCTTTTTAATGTGACATGCTGAGTATTGATGGACTTTTTTCCACTTCATATGGCTGCCTTACTGTACACACAGACCTTTTGTGTACACTAGATAAGGTTTTGTTTATGGCCTGTATGTAGTTGTACCAAAATGAGGATTTGTCTGAGGGAAGCTTTTCTTCATGTGTTGCATGTGCGTGTGTGTGGATGTTTTGTTGACTTTATAGACTTTGAGATGGAGATACAGTTTTAAATGTGCAATATATACATGTGTTTTACAATATTATGTTCCGTAAAGCAACTCTGGGCAATGCTTAAGCATTTAAAAATAGCATTCCCTTAAAAATTGTAGAAGGGGCTTGATATTGTGCAGCTCTAAATTGGAAAAATTCAGAAAGATGCATTTAAATCAATATAAAGCATATAAGGTAATTGGTCCAGTTCTGCAAATTCTTAAATAAGATGAGTAGTTTCAGCAATTTTATAAAAGTACTTAATATATCTTTAAGTGGTAAACCACTAAAGAAATAGCAGAAGGGCACTCAGTCCTTTGAGAACATTATTGTTAGCTGGAGTAAGATATACTTTGACCTTTTTTATTAATGACCCATAGGCTCATAGAGTAAATTAAGTTGAAGGAACCTCTGTACACCCTTTCAAGGCAGGGCTACCCTCAGAGTTGGATTGCTTCCTTGTCTAGGCAAGTTTTGAAAATTTCTAAGGCTGGCGATTGAACAATTTGGCGGGGGCAACCTGTGCCTAATCACCCTCACTGAAATATTTTTTCTTATCCCCAGTTGGGATTTCCCTTGATGTTGCTCATGACTGTTGCCTTCTGTCCTTTCACTGTGTACTTTAGTCTTCTCTCTTACTAATATGTAATTTAAGATGGCAATGAAATTTCCCCCCAGCCTTCTCTTCTGAAACAATGCGTCATTCTCAGTCTCCTCATCTGTTGTGCTCCAGCTCCCTGGCTGGATTAGTGACGTTCCACCGGCCTTCCTCCAGTGTATCCATCCCTCTTGTGAACAGGGGTGTTCAAAACTGAACAGCGTGTTCCAGATGTGGCCTCATGAGCACTAAGCAGACTAATCGCTTCCCTTGACCCGTTGGCTGATTCTTGCTCATACAGCCCAGTATTACAGTAATTCATTGCTGCAAAGGTACACTGCTGACTCATATTTAATTTCTGCTTTACAAGCGCTCTCGTGTCCTTTTCTGCAGAATTACACCGAGTCCAAGTTTCAGGACTTTGCTTTTGGCTTTGTTGAACTTCATGCATTTGATAGCTGTTACTTCCATTCTTCTGGCTTATCAAGGGCTCTCTGAAAGGTAACCCTGCTCTCCGGCATGTCCACCACTCTCCCGCGTTCGGTATCATGTGCAAACTTGCTGAGAGAGTCCTGCACCCTTGTCTGGGTCTTTGAAGATGCTAAATAGTGTTGGCCAGATGCTTTATCAGATTCCCTTCTCTCCACAAACTGTCTTTGAAAAAAAAAGTTCAGTGGTGGAACCACATCAACTATGGAGAGTTAACTCACATGAAAATGTCTATGTTTATGTGTAAGTATTGTCTGCTTGAAATCAGTAAAATAATATCAAAGACATGCTGTTGCATGCATGGTGTTTGTGTCCATTCTTTTATATGAAAAGACAGTTTGATGATATTGCTAGGAACACAAAATATATGAAAAAACCCTCAATTGGAGAAGAAGGGTTTATCTGTGCAGGAAATAATTTTCTGGGTTAGGATTGAGGTTAGGAAACACAGCCTAGAATAATGTTGAAGTTCCTTTGAGTTTTCAGATCACCAGCACCCACTAATCATTCAAATTATTAAAGCATTATCAGACTTCAGCTGAATTTATAACATATTAGGAGATTCTACAGCTTTGAAAATTATGGTTTTTTCCTTTTAAAAAATTGCTTGTGATTTTATTACTTTAAATAAAAAATTGCAATGAAAATACGTAATTGTATAAAATTAACATGCTGAGTTTATTGTTTCATCTGGAAAAGGCTTTTTTTTTCTTAATTGTACATAATTTTAAACCTGGATGCTTGATAGTAATGGAGCTACAACTGTTTGAAATTTTAAGGATGAGGGATTGGAAGGGGACTGCAGTAACAACTGCGTAGAAAGGCCCCACCTAGTTCCTGGTGAGTACCAGTAAAACTTCCACCTTACTTTTCGGAGAAATCTTAAGAAGCAGCTAAAACTCCAAGTCTCAATTTCCTGCCTAAAACATGCTTTTGTTGATGGGTGTCTCTAGCGTGACTTTGACATACTCAGCTGTGACACGGAGGTTGTGAATGTAAAAGCAGCGTTAACGTATGCTGTGAGCCGTGTCTAACCCTCGAGCAGCCGGACAGTTGGGCAGGAAGTTGTTGTGCCACAAAAAATGGCTAATTTGGGCAGAAAATCAGGGCATGGGTGCTAAAGAAAAAAAGAAGATTTCTCTGGCTAGGGCTGAATTTTCCACTCATAGAAAGATAAATAATTCCACTGAATTCCATCCAGTTGTGTGAATTTGTTGAAAATATTGTTCTGTACAAAACAAAATAGGCAACAGGAATGATTACTCAAATTCCTCTCAAACCAAAGATAGATATGTGTGTGTAATTAAGCAAGTAATTAAATTTCTTTTAAAGAATATTTCTCATAAATTGAGAGAATTGGAGATCCTCAACAGAAACTGCTACTCACATTTTTTTTTTTTACAAACTCCCTAAAATTTTGTTCTATGTATACTGCCAAAATGTTACCTCTTTGTGCTGCTTCACAAGTGTCTCCTCGAGTTTATAAAGTACAATGCACTTTCAACATTGATGATAGAAATAGTGTATCCCATCAGATCAATTAGTAGGAGTTGTTCTGTCCATCTTAAAACTGTGTCTTAGTGGCGAAACGTAGAAATCTTTCATTTTCATAGTTTTCTCTGTGGAGTGGATGAAAGACTCGTGGAGCCGTAGCATCTCTGCAGCACCTCATGCCAACGTGAGAGGGTCTCCTTTCTTGCAGGCTCCGGAAAGGAGCTCAGTTCTGTCCATCTTCTGAGGTTGTTCTACGACATTGCAGCAGGTGTCTAGCCAATTTTGCATTTTATATGTTAGAATTTCTGGGGTTTACCACTTTCACCTTAAAAAGATGCAGAAATCTCATTAAAACACTGCATCAGTGGAACTTTGAAATTGTAAAGACTAATGTTTAAAGAGCTCAAGAAATTATTCCATGGGGGTTCTTTGTGCAATGTTGGCCCTGCCTGCTTGTGGGTAGGTGTTCGAGGTATGATACAAAAGATCACAGCAGTGCTCTTCTTCAACTAATAAAGCCTAAAAGATATTTCCAAGATATGTGTGGACCGAGATGCACACTGCACACTGCTATACATAAATGAGATTTTAGGATCCATAACCAAAATGGAAAAAAAAATTAAGTGGCACTTAACCAACATACTGTTCATCATGTGCAAATATCCTCAAAAATGATGGGACTTGCTCACCTATATATTCAGCTGTGCTAACTTCACAGGTAATCGTATCACCCACGTAACTAATTTTGAAGAAGGTAATCATTTTAGGAGAAAATGAAGCTAATGCTTAATCACTGCTTCTAAGTAAGTCATTTAATTACACAGTTTTCACTCGGAAGTATGTACTAAACATTTACGATATGTAATAATGTAAACATTCAGAATTGCCTAACATTTCTATCTTGTATCAAAAAATTGTAGAATTTCCTAATATTTTTCATATGTCTAAGGTACATAACAAAGTCGTATGCTATGATAGATTACAAAGATATGACCAAACTGGCTGAAATTATGTGTAAAAAATTATAAATGTGTAAGGAGCAAACTTTAATTTTGTAGTTGAGTGTTCCCATCTGCAATCTTAATATTCTTTCAATATTTTGTATGATAGAATTAATTGCATCTTTGATTATTTACAAATTCTTCTGAGTCTTTTTCTAAATTTAAGCATTGAAAAAAGCATATTTTCAAAATAATTTAATTTTTGGCAAGATAGGACATTTTAATGACATGTTTTAAGTTATAGTCTGTTGAGCTTTGTATTCATGTTCACTTTGTATGCGTGCACCTCTTTCTAAAAACCGTAACTGTATTATTTTCATAATCTACTATATCTTCATTTTTTAAAAGTAATATCACTATCTCCAAGAGATAAACGTAAAGCTTTATATATTTAATGTTGAGGTGAAGTAAATTTTATCTTAAATCCCACATTGTA